TTTAAACAAAATAGCTACCTCCCCTTCATAAGAAACATCTTTGAATCATCAAATAGTGGTTAACAGTGTAATTGCCAAGTTAGATTTACATTGTGCTACCTACTCAAGCAAATCGCTTATAAGAATGAAATAAGTAAAGTTCATCTTTCGGTAACCTAACTGAAAATGAAAATCCACCACAGGTTTTGAATTACAATAAGTATGTTGACGTATATTGCCAAATTCATTTACATAAAAAAATTGTTTCAAAGCTGGATATTCATCGATTGTTCTCATGTTGCAACCAGATCGCCTTTCGTTTTGTGGGAGAGTTAAGAACAATATACCAAGCCTAATTTGCACTCCTCATTTTCAAGAAGTGCACAAAGTTATTTGGTCTCACAATATGAAATCTCAAGTAGTATCAGTAGAAGTAGACGGTTCAAAACCCCATCCCACTTGACGTCGAATAAACATACACCGCCACAAGGGTTTGATTGTTGCTGTATGTTAATGTATTTTTGCGCTCAACCAAAAGAAGATACTTTTTGAAATTCTTAGTTTGAAGTTTTCTGCGTGCCCCATAAAGACTGATTGATATCTGTCAATTAACTGATCAAAATTATACACACTGCGGAAGATTTTAGACGTATATACTAACCCTGATTTACTTATCCTTTTTCCTTCCAAACACTACTAACTACTTTGATATCGTTCTTTGTCTGTTCCAAACTGCTCTGTTTGCTACTGTGAGGAGTAGCAAATTCAACAGATACTGATGTGTAATTTTTTATACTGATCTGCTCGACTGTTCGCATACCTTATGTACCTTATACACATTTGCAGATCAGGAATAAACCTGAGCTAAGCAAAGTAGCTATGATACTTTGAGAAAGTGAAAACGGAAAACCAGTACTAAAACGTTAATATAGGTGTGAAACTTGGGCACTGTGGTAGAAATTAATTCCATATCAGATTTGTTTATTTGATTTATAACACATAATGATCTGGTATTATTCACTTAATGACATTTCAAGCATAAATTATTGCTCATAATCAGGAAACAAAAGCAAAATACGACTTCAACAGATTTTCCTCAACCTAAATGCGTTTACTTATCAAGAAACTTAGCTCCATGAGATGACAGTTTCCTTTTTATGTTCAAATGCACTGACCTTCACACGCCTAGACGACCACTTTTACTAGCAGCACCGTACACATGAACCTTCACATATTATTCACCCTAAGCAAGCCTTTAGGATAGGGATTACTGCCATACCAAATTATTCCCACAAACCTTTAACTTGCAAAACAACTCTTTTGTTTTTTTTTATTTGGTGCCTCCTGTATACGTTCTATAGTTACAAATAGCTATCAATAGTTGTTACAGAATACATCTATCCCACAGGCTAGTTTTTCATTTTACTATTGCTTCATGGTACACACGTGGTTTTGTACTTTGTCAGTGGCTCCTACTGGGCCTCCATATTTTATGGTGTTTTAAAATGGTTTTCATTTCGTTTTCATTTACAATTAAAAACGTTATATCTAAATTGGTTTCCTTCCAAAACTTCAGGAGAAGCTGCTTTTGGTTGTGGTGATTTACAATAGTTCTGATTACGAGGCAATAGTTTCGCGTAGAATATTTTCCACTTGATCTTCTTAGTGAAAACAAATTTCTACAAATTTTAACAAAATCACCATAAACCACAAAAATTACAGACAACTTTCGCAAAAACGATAGCTAGTAAAGTTCTTCTACTCGCTGTTACACAACTTCAAATTAAGATAACCAAATATTTAGTCGAATCATTTGTTTTTTTTGCTGCGTTTTGTTACGCAATAAAGATGTTCAGATGCTGCAGTATATGTCATATCTTGACGACGACTTCATGCTGTGCTACTTTTTGCCTAGAAGATCAGAGCTTATGAGTGTAGCAGCTCTGAAAAGACTAGGCGTTTAGAAGTGTGGTTAGTAATCACTGAGGTGTCTTTGACAGATAAGTCTACCACTACATAAATTCACGTTGATTTGATTTTGAAGCCCTTAAGAAACCAAAAATATAATTTCCCAAGCTATATGTACACTAAGGTACAATAAGATGACCGAGAAACAGTCTACTATGAACAAATATGAAGACAGAAGTACATCTAAAAGAAGAACACTGTTAATGAAGGAAGGCTGTTAAAGATAGACGTAAAGTAAATCGTTCTAATATCAGTATCTATTGAATGTATGAAATACAGTTCAAACTTTATCCCTCGGTATCTTAGGTGCTTATTAGGAGGATAACGAAGGGTTTTAACACTCCTGAAAAGTATCGAAAAAAAATCCTGTATTACCCTGAATGGAAGATGAACTGGAAAAGACCAAATTCCTCTCTGATAACGTTAGAGAGGTTCAAAACGTCAAATGTACACTTCCAGAATCCGAATTTCTGATTGCAAACTAAAGTCAGAGGAGTCAAAAACAGTCAATACTTTTGTCAAACCAACTAAAAAAGTATTACTAAACCAAAGTCTCCTTTGTCCAGTTGATCCCACCTATATTTCACTCCAGAAAGGTCATTAATTGTTTTTCCCACCACTGTAACACTTACGTTCTCTGAAAGGAATTAGTATGTGTCCTCATGAAAGGTATCATCTTTCAGGTCTACCAACCCTGTGATTACATTATGAAAATAACCATTTTGAAGGTGTTTCAGAAATATATGAAGAAGAATATCATTTCTCACGCTTATTTTTAGGAAGAACATACTCGCTAGAAAGGCAGGTCTTGATTCGTTCTGAAACGAGTTTTGCCCTTAGTTATAACCTTCGTTTACTCCGACAAAGGTTCTAATAAACTTGATGGGCTAAAATAATATCATGGCTGAACAAAGCTGAACAAAGCTGAAAAAGTTTATGATTTGCCCTGTGTTATATAAAAAGCAACCTAAGTTGAAAGTAATGTTATGCTGGGGTCTGTAGCATGCAATCTGAAGACCAATATTGTTTCTGTTATACACTTCTAATTTAACTGCAGTCATCCCATTATTTGTATTTCAGATGATGGTTGTCAAAATACGGGTGAAAAAATTGTACCAAGAGGCCTCATTAGAATGGGTGCATGCTGGAGTAGTATTTTTATTATTAATCAGTCGTTTTCCTTAATCGATCAAAAACATTTCAATTGTAATGTTAATAAGATAGTGTTGGAATGCATATACGGGTAACTGACAGGATTGTAATCACTTGATCGAATCTTTAGCCCACTGAAAAACCAAACAGGATGTTTGCTATATATACAAGCTTTGCTTAAAAGCTCACCAAAGTTATTATTCGTGTAAGTTCATAACAATCTGAATGTTATGGTCACAGAAATCTCCAAACTCTTTCATAAGAAAAGGCAGAATGAATTTAGTCTAACTCCCATCTTTCATCAATTTTTACTTCGTTTTCTTGACCTCAGTAAAGGCTTTTCGTAGGTCCCATTTGCTTCTCGGCTCTTCCCATATCAAGCCCGACCTTAACCTCTGCGACATGGTCAACAAATGTTGTCGTAGTAGTAGTACGACGGAGTGTCAATTTTCATTCGCCTATGATATGCTGCGTCATACATGCACGAGGTAGTACCAAGATAGCTGTACGATCTTTGTGCCTGCAGCATCCAAAAAGCATAGCAAGGAAAGAAGTATCCAGCTTTGCCTGTTACGCTTCTCAGACATTCGCGGATCGGTTGAAGAGAAATCATTTCCAAATGCTATCATATGGAAGTCGGCATCCAAAAGAAAAGCCGATGATTTTAAAAGTGATGATACTTTATCTGTTGACACATAGGTTTTTGTGCAGAACCATAATAATGTCTTACAGCAGACTGTAAAGCATGACTAGGGTGTCTATGAAAAAGTTGCTGAGACCAAGCCAAAGTGAGCGTATTCAGGTTTTCACATTCTCGGAGATAGAGGACCAAGTTGAAAACTAAAGTCGTTAGGTCGAACCGGCTTTCGGGTAAGATGATGTAGGTGGAACACTGTCAGTGTCATCCATGAAAATATGGGATCCGCAAGTCCCACATTGTTCAACAACCCAATCAGCGAAGTTACACCACAAAAGATAAAATTCTTATCTGAATCTACTAAGTATAAGGTTATTGTAACAAAATCCTAGTCACTGTTCTAGATCACACAGCTATGAGAAATAGTAAGTGATGAGAAATAAGCGGCTCACTTATGTTTCATTCGTAGCTTTAGAGCCAACTGTAATCACTCAGCAGGGATTAGACAAAGTAGAACTCTATGAAAAACCCGTAATTTCCAGTAGAGTTGAAGAAAGTAAGGACCTAAAGCCGTGCGGCGGTTTTGAAAATGACTTTGATGAGGTCCAGTCTGCTTCAAAAGCCATTAGCAGGAAATACATGAAGAGTAACCCCACCAAGCTTCATTTCCTCCAAAAACGGTCTTCAGACACTTAAAGATGTGTTCAAGTGAAAAAAGAATGACCTCATTCTACGAATGCTTGTGAACTTCAAGAACTGAAGTGTTTGTGCGTAAGAATCCATCTCTTGCTGATCGAATCAAAATGAGACGCACATGAAGAGCTGAAATCTCAATTGACAGAAGAAAACAAATATCTTGAAACGCTTGGTATACTTGTAGGATGGTTTTGGAATGTTACACGTAATGTAATACGACGACATAAGACAAAAAACGTTGCACCATTTTCAGTCAACATTTTATGAAGGTGATGTACATTAAACATGAAACTATTGCTAAAATGGTTCAGAAGTGAACGCAATAACATCAGTTATAGTACTCTAAGCCTCATACAGTCCCTAGAAATTGAGTCAGATAGTTGTAAATAAATGCGATTACCGCAATAAATTGGTTCATGCATTAGGATAAATTCATCCAAAAAACTCAACTGATCCACATAAATCGCATAAAATCTTATATTTGTAATGCGTTGTGGGATGATATATATACTTCAAAGGAAACAAACCAAAAATTTTTAAAGATTAAAGTGCACGTAAACTCGCGTACGTCAATCTGCTCTTGTTTGGCCGGACAAGATCTAAGCTTCTCCTAAATCAAACTATGTTAGCACAACAATTTTAAATAACTTTTAAGTTGCATTCTTTTTCTTCGTTCGTCTTAAGAGCAATTATTTCATCTAAATCAATATCGCAATCGTAATCATCAACCTTCAGAACAGCATGAACATAAGATTCCCCTCACTCACCTGTGTACAATAAAGAAAACGTAGCTGTTCAAAAACAAAGTTTTCAAGGCGGATTTTTTCTCCGATTTTTTGACGTGTTCGTCTATCATATTTGGCAGTCAGATAACGTTTACGCTTCGAATTGTCTGAAGGTGAATTGGTTACGAAAACAACCTCCTTGTTTTCGCTTCTATCAGGATATTCATCCCTATGTTCATCGGTTGCTTTTTCTAGGCTCATTCCTTCAGGCCATGCAAACTGATATGTCGATAACTCAGATTAAATCTAAAATTTTGAGATGCAACGTTTTAGTCAATTAAGATAACCAAACAAAGCAAACAATATTCAATACATTTCTGGTGTCCAATAAGTTAGTTAGTTGTTTCGTGCTCGTCTTCAAGTTTGGAAGAATAAAATAAGTTGTTTATTAGATTTTAACGCAATAGACGTAGCCATTTAGCCTTTATAGCTCTGGTAAACTTTATCAACATCCAACATAAATACTGCAAATAGGGGGAAACTTGCAGTTTTCGAGCTCTCGCTCCTTGGTCTTGAGTCTTGGTTCCTTTTGTTCGGTTGTACTCCTTTCAGTGTTCAATATCTTTTTACGAGCTTGTGTAAACCAGTTGATTTCTTCGTGCTCGCTTCTTGGTCTTGCGGAACGGCTCCAGATCTTTGGCAGATTCCGATGCAGTGGGTCCAGCCACTCGTCTGCTATAGCCCTGATTTACAGAACAGGAAGTTAAGTGTTGGTTTGGACTATGGTGCAGTTGACTTCCTAAGATGTCGGGTTGCCAGGCAGTTGTTAGGAGTGGTCGCTAGAGAGGGTTGGGGATAGTGAAGAGAAAACCTAGAAAGTGTTCGTGTGAGTAAAAGAAAAGAGGAAAAGTAAACTGATGGAGTAATGTACTTACACCCAAGTAAGGTGAGTAGGGGTGCAAAGGTATGAAGAACTTAGGCAAGTGAGGCTAACTTATGGCAAGTGAAAGGGTTGGAAAGGGCTTAAATGGTTACAATAGAAAGAAAACTGGTTGGAGTGGCTTGACATCACTTCGTGTTCCAGCAGTGCGTGGGTAGGCCATGAGTCTCCGAATGACTGTCTAGCCTCTTCTTGAAGCTTTCAACAGTTGGGGCGGAGCCCACCTCTGCTGGTAGTGTGTTCCAGTACCCACAGACTCGGAGGGAGAAGAACTGTGAACGCACATGTGTTTTTGACCTCTGGTGTGCTATTCTATTGGGGTTTCCTCGAGGATCTCCGTAGTGGCCACTTGGTAGGACTCCTCTGTTTGATGGTCACAGAAGTCTTTGCGTCTTCCTGCTTATAGCTTTAGAGTCAGTGATTATCTATTTGAAGGCATTTTATTTCCAAGTTGTAGCTTGGTTTGTTTTGACGGACAACGGAGCCGCTGAGCAGATTTTAGGATTTGTCCTGCTGCGAACTTAACAGACGCAAAGACCAGTCACTAATTATTCGGACTTGTTATATACCCACGAATACGAGACCAAGGAAGAACACGATAGCGTAGTCGGATGGAATAGTATATTCGGATGGTTGTGCCAAAATACCGGTGCGTTCCAACCAACTGGCTAGAGAGTCGAATATGAGCAATGCAAAGTAACACGACAGCGTGCCCAATGGCTAGGATGCTTGACCGGGTGCCTCCAGCTTAGCGAGTCCAGTTAAACTATCAAGGTCAGCATCAATGTTGAAAGTCGTCAAACCCTAGGCTATTGATTTTGGGGGAGTGTGTGACGCTACAACATCAACCAACCGTTTGCGATTCCTGCTTCTGCAAGCACCTGCAAATAAGCATTAAGCGTTATTTAAAGAGCGCCAGAAATAGTGGGGAATGAGAAAAAGAGGAGTGAGAAGTGCCTATGAAAAGACGAGTATACTGGTAATAATATGGAGAAGAGATGCAACTTGTTGCAGGCACTAGGGTTGGGGAGCACAGAGGTGGAAGGGCGTATCACCAACCGCTACTGACAAATGTTGGTGGTAAGCCACTTACGCTCACATACCCATCCACCAGTCGTTTGAAGGAGCCAACCGATGTAGCTGTGGCCACTTCCTTTGGCATACCGTTCCATAAGACAAATACTTTGTGGGAGAAGAAGTTGGATCTCACTCTCATCTTTGCTCGATGGTGGGGTATGTGAGCGGAGTTCTCATGGGACTGTCGGTTTGGGACAGATAACGTTGACCTATTTGAGTGGTCAGCTGGCAAGTGGTCTCATAAGCTGTTATCAGGTCACCTTGTGTCCTCCGACAGTTTAGTGTGAGCAAGTCAAGTTGTCTTAGGCATATGTCTGCCTTTTAGTCCGACAACCAAACTTTTTGCTCCGTTCTGTGCCTTCCAGAGAGTATCTGCGTCTCTCTTTAGTAGTGGGGGGCCATCGTGTTGAACACTTCCAGGTATGGTCCAACATAGGTTTTGAATACCATAAGGAATGATTCTGGGGTTAACGATCCAAGCTGTCTTTTTAGAAAGTGCATAATGGTGTTCGCCATTGGCTGCCATTCCCTTATAAATGCCAGCAGTGTCCAGTGTGTCAGAAAAGTTTAGTCCTAGGTCATTCTCTGCGGATACCTTAGTGGTTGCACGCTTGCCAAGAGTGTAGCTGATTTTCATCGCCTCTGGTGCGCGAAGATACACCACATTCCACTTCCCCAGGTCAAAGTTTGAGCCGTTTGCAGCTGACCAGGACTCCAGCTGCAACAGGTCATTTTGGAGTGTATTTTGATGTCGTCGGCAAGTAGGAGGATAGATGAGGAGGTTTTAGGCTTGAGGTCATTTATGAACAGTAAAAATAAGAATGGCCCAAGGATCGCGACATGGGAAACTCCTGTTTTTGTACTCCTCCAGGCCGATCGAATTCTATTTACTTCAATGTAGAATTCTATGTCTTATGGGTATGCCGTAAATCGTGCTATGGGTGGTTCGGTGATCTCCACCTCTACAAGTTTAGCGGCATGGCGTAGTGTAGGTCGCTGCTGTAAGCTTATGCCAGGTCCAGGAAGACAGCGTTAACTGCTCACTTGTTGTCCTATCTGGTAGTCTAGTCATTTCGAGCGGCCATCAAGTTTTTGACACACTACCTAACGGTTCTGAAGCCACGTTAGGTGGGATGGGCGATATTGTTTCCATTCAGATAGTCCCAAACAACATCCACAATCAGGCTTCCAGTGCCTTGGAAAGTATGGGAAGCAACACTATTAACCTGTGGCCGCGCTGGTTTTTTCGGTGTCCTCCCTTGAAGATTGGTGAAAGGACGGCCCGTTTCCACCCTTTAAGAAGTTGACTTGCTTCCAATCAGTGCGTCAACGAGTTGCACATGGGTGTGCTTAGCACTTCGGCACAGTTGTGTAAGACAACCGGTCTTATGTCATCACGGCCCGGAGACCTTCCTATCCCTTGCTGAACGTTCTCAGACACTTGGTTTGACGAAATCTTCACGTTCATCAGCTTCATATCTCAGCCCCGGGACTTCGTTACATTAACAGATGTTGTTAGCGGATGTGTTACTGGGTCGAGTCGCTCGTCAAGTTGACGGCTCAACAGTTTCGCTAGCTGTTCAAAGGTTCTCCGGCCGGCCCTGAGATCAGACTTAAACCCTTATTCGTCGGTTCGCGTTGCGCCACAAACCGAAACAGACTTTTCGGGTAGTAAATTAACTGTTTAGCCGGGATGCTTTGATATATGTGATTGTCATTACGAATTCTTATGTTACATAAGTTATACAACGTCTCGTGCCTATGAAAATCTGATTCTTTGCGTGATGTATGCCATCGGTACCATGGCTTCTTCTCCATCTGTATTTGCCGTTGGGTTGCGCGACTTACCCATAACCACCTAAGAAGTGGCCATCTGGTTAATTTTGAAACACTCTTATCGACAGGGCTCCGGATGATATCTTTAATATGTATCCAATGTTCGTCCAGCGACAGCGAGGCCCACTCTTGTGGCCATGCAGCCTCCAGGAATAAGTTGTTCGTGAGATGGTAGTCTGCTTTTCGTAACAGCGGGACACTTCTGGCTCAACTATTGGTAGTGTCTCCCTGGTTGTCAGAGTAACTACCACCAATGTGTGGCCGCTTTTACCCGGGGAGTTTGGACACAGATATCGTCCACCAAAAGATCATCGTCTGTTAGAACGCGGTCAAGTAATGATCCCTTCCCATCCGTTCCCTATCTGGTGTTTTCCTCAACCTTCTGTACCAACCCCACTGCCACAAATTCGTCTCAAAGTCTACGTTCGAAAGGCTTATGCCCATACCTTACTTCACATCCCGGGTTGAGTGCCGGTGTGTAACAGCCTCCAGCGGGGACTACACGGTCATAGGCTGCCGAGGTGGTTGTTGAAATGACACTGAGCAACTGTGCTCCATGAGCTGTCGTGCAGGGAGAAGGCCTATATGCCACTCTTAGTGGGCAGGTAGTTTGGTTTATGGTGAAACAGCACCATAAGGAGTCTTGTAGTAAGCTGAACATACCACCAGTCGCTTCATAGGCTTTAAGATGGGTGCTCTACACATGGCAACTCCTCCGTCTCCTTCAAACTACCTGTCTTTTGGGATAGGGTCATGTCAGGTAAAGATATTACATCATCCACGATGTCTGTTGACAGCCAAGTCTCCACGATAAGAATTATACCTGCTTGCAGATTACGAGAAACTGTTTTTAGCTCCGGTAGTTTACTCCTAAGACCTCTTACTTCGCATGTCATTTGGTCTTTTATGCTTCGCCATGCTGTGAGAGCTTCTGTTGTGATGCCCTGCAGTCAAAGCGTACAGCTAGCAATCTTGGGGAGGAGTTGTTCCGGAGGCACGCCGGTCTTGGTAACCTACTTGCGCCTCTAGCAGGCAAATTTCCCAGTGCAATCTTTGCCACTAGCCACCTCCACTGCTCGATATCATGGAGGTAACTGTCACACTTAGTGGAACCACCCGCCAGTTAGGGTATCCCACTGGCCACCATGGTTTCAGCTTTGTGCTGATGGCTTACGAAAGGCAAGTTATGTCCTTAGCGTTTTCCTAGTGCTCTTGGATTTTGGTAATCTGGCCACGATCCAGTTGCAATTTTTGCCGCAAATTGGAGCATCTACACACAAGTTACCTGCTGACTGTTGCCATCATCTCCGCAACTATAGTCGACACACCTCTGGTTTTAATTGCTACGTGAATTTCGGAGCGATAAGTCGAACGTTCGTGTACTTCGCCATTTGACGGGAAGTTGTAGCATTTCGCTAATTTATATACCAGTTCACTGCTGAAGCTGAGGTTGGAAGACGGATAATAACTTTAATATGTGTTATAGCTTAGTTCCAATCCCGATACTTTATTGTCAGACAATAAATTTTTGCTATCGTTTGA